TTTTTAACAGTTCTGATAAATCAGCATGTTCTAAAGATCAAAATCCAGAAATTTTAAACATTCATTCACACCACAATGAAACAAGCACTTAAAAAAACAAAAAAACAAAAGAAACTAAGCACATAGATCATGTACCTGGATAAATGAGAACTTCAAGTACTGCTGGAAAAAAGAACAGGCTATAGCCTTTTACTTGAAAAATAAAACTACTTTTAAAGATAAATGCTAAAACACATTTCAACATTCATGTTGCCTTGAAAAATCTGAGGTACTTGTCTCTGATCAGAAAAGCAATTCTATGTAATAGTATGTTACAATTCAGTGTCAGTTTGCTTTAGAAGAAAAGAGAAAAGAAAAGCTACTGTTTCTCATATCCTGCATAAAGTGTGAAGTGCCTCCCTGCCTTTCTCCTCCCATTTTCTAAGCTCACGCTCCCCAACCCTTCTGAAACAAGTATGAGAATTACTTATTCCCACCAATAGGCCAAATGACAAAAGAATATCAATTTATTTGTGTAAATATATGCCTACATCTTAAAGTAGAGGAGAAATATATCAAGTCTATATGGAAATTCTTTCTACCTTCCTGCAATCACACACACAAACGTTCACACAGACACAGACATATTCCCCCTGGATTACTGGGCACTTCACAAGCTTAGGACCTACAACTTCTAGAAGATAAATTTGTAGTTAGTTTAAAATACAAAACTGTCAGCTTTTGAAAGCCTAGATCATCTGCTAAACCATCCAAATATCAAAGAGACCCAATTAGCCTTCTCTGTAGAATGTAATTTCCCATGCTGGCAAAACAGACCCTAAGAAGTACTAGATCCAAGTCTCGTGTTTATCACTAGCTATGATCATTTTTAAGCACATTAACAGATTCAGAAATATATGTCCCAACAAAATTTATTCTTATTGAAATAGTATACGTGTTCAATTGCCTATACAGAGACTAGGTCCCATGATGGTGTTTAAGAGCTATTTTGTTTATTGCAATATTAATTTTTAAGTGCAGAGAAGGAGGGCGGGTGTTAATCAGTTGAAGACCACCTGCTTAGCATGCACAATGTCCTGGCTTCAGTCCCCAGTACCTCCAAAATAATAAATAAAAATAAGTGCATATTTAAAAATAAGAGTAAAGGCATAAAAAGTGCAGACTAAAA